TTTTTTTTTTTTTTGAGTGTGTTCTTCTTCACTTTCGTCTTCTTTCGCTTCTGTTTTATCGCCATCTTCTTCTGTTGCTGCTGTTGCGGGTAGTTAAATTTTCTGGCTTTTTTTTCTCAAAATTTAAAGCTAGTTTGGTTCAAATTAAATAAACCTAATAAAATTTCGTTAACGTAAACCATATTAATGCTGACCAATGTTCTCGCATATCTCTTTAATTTCTTCTGCATTTTGATTAATAGTTGGACAGACAAATGGTTAGACGGATAGACAGATACCGGCTAGGTCACCGTAAGTGTTAATTCAACTACCTTCTAGCAAGAAATAATCTCAGGGTAATGTCTTTTTTTTATATATGTCTTTTTCCACTTTCTTTTTGTAATGCTTCTTTAGCTTATAAACAACAAAAAAGAGGCTTTTATATGATCTTTCTTCCTACGTTCATCTTTCCAGCTCTATCTAATCTATATATTATTAATACAGGGTTTTCTCTCTTACATACTGGAACACTACTCGGTAACTGAACTGGTCTTAGGTTAATTGGTAGTGAAGATTGCTTTCAAAATTTTCAAACTTAATTGGAACCTATGTTGGTGTCTTCTTTAATTTGCTCGGTGCTTACGGTAAAATGTGGACAACAATCAAGAAAAAAACAAGGCTAAGCAGGCGATTAGTTAATAAACTGGTATTTAAGTATACTGGACGAACAAAAAAAGTTGCGCATTTTTTATTTACTGGTCTAAATACTTGCAAAAAAAAAATAACTTACATACATCGTATAAATGATGAGATATGGGGGATGAAGGAATGGCGGAAAGAAGAGATCAACAAAAAGCCTTAAAACCTCAGCAGTGCACCAAATGTATAAGTGTTTTATTTTGCATTTGGCTTCTTCGGTTTTTACTTTTGTTCCTTTACTCACTGCAGTTTTTTGTCTTTTGAAAATAATAAAGGAGAAAACAAAAATTTTTTTTGGTTTCTGTTCCAAAAAAAAAATATTTTACTTTAAACAGATAAACCTAAATTTTTAATTGGTTTACTTTTTATTTTTTATTTTTTAAGATTTATGGCTTTTTTCTCAACTTCACTTATTGTTTTTGCTTTATTTATTCTTTTTTTTTCTCTACTTTTTAACTTTACTAATAACTATTATTTTTTCTTCAAATTTTGTCGTTCTTCTACTTTTTTGTTTATGCTTTTATTACTTCTGTACGGCTTTGTGTAAAGTTTTAATTGTTGCTAATTGGATAGACAAATTTTTATTTTTTATGTCTACTGTTAAATGCTTCAAAGATTTTTTGATACATTTGAAAATGCGAGAAGAAGAAAGTTTTGGGAAAACGGGGAGAGTGCTTTAGTTCAGTTGTTTGTAGCTTTAAAAGAGTGAAAAAAAAACAAGCTAAGTTATCTTTGCTGTTTGAATCGGCTGTAAATAGATGGATTGAATAGGATGAATCGATGGTGAGATTGTTTA